TCCATTTCTATTATATTACTAATTTTATTATGATTTTATTATGATTTTATTATGATTTTATTATGATTTTATTATGATTTTATTATGATTGCTTAAGGCAGGTTTGACATTTTTATCCACCTACAGAGCACAGGTAGTCCTCAAGTGACAGCAACTCAGTGACCATTCAGAGTCACAACAGCGGTGGGGAAAAAAAGTGACTTATGGCCGTTTTTCACACTTAACAACCGTTGCAGCATCCCTGCGGTCCCGTGATCAAAATCCAGATGCTTGGCAACTGACTCACATTTATGACGGTTGCAGTGTCCCAGGGATCCCATTTTGCAACCCGGCAACCAGCCAATTCAATGGGAAAAATCAGATTCACTTAACGACCATGTCACTCATTGAACAACTGCGATGATTCACTTAAGAACAGCGGCAAGAAAAGTCATGCAAATGGAGCAAACTCACTGAATAAATGTTTCAGTTAGCAACATACATTTTGGGTTCAATTGGGGGTCATCACTCAAGGACTACTTGTGTAATAATAATAATTATTATTATATTTCATTTTATTATTCATCTGTTCATCACACAGCCAGATGTTCAAACCGGATTTGGTATTTTGGTTCACCTATCAAGTCCTTCCCAACAAGATAGGCAGATGTTATTATTTAATAATATTAAAGATATCATCGCAGGATGTCAGCTATTCCAAGCCAAGCTGCCTTTTTGCAATTGACTGATGGGGATTCTGTCAATGCCGACGGAGTTCAAGGGATGCTCCAGATCATTATTAGGGCTGGTAGCACCATCAGCCAGTCTCAATTTGGCATTTTTATCCATCCAGTCAGTCCTTCCCATGAATCTGGGATAAGCAGATGTGGATGTTTGTTGGTATTAAAGCTATCCTCGCAGGATGTAAGCTGTTCTAAATTAAAGCTGTCTTTTTGCAATTGACTGATGGGGATTTTGTCAATGCCGATGGTGTTCAAGGGGGGCTGACGATCAGGTGGGAAATTCATCAGGTTCTGGAGAACCAGTAGAGGAAATTTTGAGTTCGCAGAACCGGCAAATACCACCTCTGGCTGGCCTCAGAGTGGGCTGGGAATGGAGATTTTGCAGTACCCTTCCCCTGAAGTGAGGGAGGGGGAGAATGGGGATTTTGCAGTATCCTTTCCCTACCACACCCACCGAGCCATGCCCACAGAACCGGTAGTAAAAAAAAAATGAATTTCCCCACTGCTCCAGATGTTTTGGGATTGTACCTAAGGCAGCTATCATTATCGGTACCCCCTTTGCTTTATTATTCATTCCAATCGTTATATTATTGTAAGGTTACACAGTCCTTATTTTATCTTTATCTTCAGGAGGAAATAGCGAGGGTCGTGTCTGAGACTCTTTCCCACGTTACATTTCCGCCCTGGACTCCGATGCCTCTTCTCTGAACATTGGTTTCCTCTCTTCGTTCTGTCCCTCAAGGTTAATCCTCGCGCCCATTGCTCCGTCTTAGAATCCTCTTCCTCGGGGCCCCTAAAACAAAGGCATTCGAACAACCGAAGCCTTGCCGGGAGATTCAAAAGCAGCAGAAAAGATGACGACGGAATTGGTCTCCACGTCTTACGAGCTGGTGGATTCCATCCGCCCGAAAAAGGCTATCCGAGCTCCCTTAAGGATCTTGGATCCCGCTCGCTCGAAGCTGAGCACCGTCGAGACCAAGAGGATCATATCCGTCTTGGATGAAACCATCTTCAAGATAGAACTGGTCAGTGTCTTCTCCCACGTCATCGAGAACCTCGATGATTTTAAGCCCTTCTTGGGTCCTGACCTCACGGGAGCCTTCCGAGAACATCTCCGGCTCTCAAACATCCTGGAATGTATGCTGTCCCACCCGGAAGAAGAAAATATGCTCTATATAGGCTCCGGCAAGGGAACTTTCTTTGGCCTAGTGGATCCCGATGGCCATCTCACGCTGCATGTTCAAGGCCTTAAAAGCTCGGTCCGAAATATCCTACGCCTGCTTTACACCAACACTGTCGCTTGCCAAGCTCTGAAAGAGGTGTCTTACACCAGGGACCCGTCCGTCCACAAATTTATTCATTGCTTGTCCAAGCAGAGGGGCTTCCTCTTCGAGCAGCTCCTCACCACCCCTCTAGAAGAAAAGGAGAAATCTCGGTTTTTGTACGAAGTCTTCCAGAGAGACAAGAAAAACACGGAGACCGCGGCAACTCTGGAAGACGAACTTACTGCAGCCGTGCAGAATAGGGATGAGGAGGTAGGATGGTTGTTGTGCCGTAGGCTTCCCCAGCAGCACGAAGCCGATAAACTCCTCATCCTGATAAACCCCTTTTATTTCATGGACAGTGAATTCCTCTCCAGCAAAGTCTTTCCTCTCCCACAGTCTTTCGAGAGAGTTCACAATTACCGACCTTGATCAGGCTTGGAGAGTAGCCAAGCCGATATCTTTCAGACGCCACAATATTTGGCAGGAATGCAGGAATGAACTAATTGTCTCCTGCAAACTCCACTCCCCTTTCGCTCCTCATTTATTCCCTATTCACCGTCCACCTGTGGCCTTACTCCCAAGTCGACCCTCCTGCAAACTCCACTCCCCTTTCGCTCCTCATTTATTCCCTATTCACCGTCCACCTGTGGCCTTACTCCCAAGTCGACCCTCCTGCAAACTCCACTCCC